TAAAATATAAATATTTTATCTATTTATTTTTTTATTTAACTTTTTTATTCTATCTAAGTTGAATTAAAATTCTTAGAATTCTATTATAATATATATTTATTCAAAATCAATCTAGATAGATTCTAAATCTACAATAATTCTATTCTGATGTACAATATGTATATATAACTTCTACTAAACAAAACAAAAATTTATTTATAATCCATTTTATTATCAATATCTTCCATATCAATATTATTAATTTTTTTGCTAATTTTTTCTGTGATCTAACTTTTTAAGCATAATATTGTCTAGGCAGTTTTAGAATCTAATTTGTTATGTATCTTCAAAATAGTAAGCTCAGAAATTGAGAGTACTTCTTCACATGATACACTAGATGTCTGAATTATAAGAAAGACATATGCTATAGTTAATAAAACTGGAAATTGAATTTTATAAACTTTCTACTACTCCAATAGGTCACAATTTTTATTAATAGGGATAGCAAGATATCTTTCTAACTCATTGCTAATATTAGATTATACAGTTGTAGTTAGACAAAATTGATTTGCAAGATTTCTTAAATAAGAACGAGCATTACTCTGATTTAATGATAAACCTTCTGGAGATAGTTCTGTTAAGTTCAGTAAAACTAATGTAGCAGTAGTTAAATAATGAGCCATTTTATTATGCAATAAAAATATAGCATTATTAGTTTTATCTCCAATTGCAAAAACTGAGCACTTAATACAAAGATCTAATATAGTTGCAATTTTAGTAGTATTACTAATATTTAAATAATATTCATCAAATTTGTGTTATATAGAATCAGCCATAATATATTGTGTAGTATTATTAATTATTTCATATTCTAAATTTTGCTTTAAGGTTCAAAAAGTAAAATAAAAATTACCGATTGTTGAAAATGAGAATGAAGAAAGTGCTAAAGTTGCAGAATACATTGGTGCTAAAACTGAAATTGCTTCTTATAAAATTTATATTGTATATTAATTAAATTATTATTAAATTTATTAAATTATTTAATTATAATGTATTTAAATGTTTATATATATGTTAGTCCAGTCATTATTTGTAAAAGTTAAATCACTAAAATAATTAGGATATTGAGCTATAAGCATATTTGCTTGTATTTAAATTTTTAAAAATTTAACTAGCATCAAATATGTAAAATTCCAATAAATTTCTACATCTATTTTTGGGCCCAAATAAGAAAGATTTTGTGATTTAAATAATCATCGCAAATCTTCTATTAATAAATTTGATCCTTTAACTTTTTTCATAAAATTTTGAACTTTTTCAATTATATCACTATGTACTTGAAGACCATGTTGTACAGCTAAATTTAGTATATGTACTTTACAATATTGATGTGAAAATAAAGAATTACTAAAATTAGCTTCTAACTCATTATATAACTGACAGCTACATACAACTATAACTTGAGCATTATCAGTTGTTAATGATATAATTTTTGTAGTTAAATTATATTTTTTTAATAGATCTATTAATTCTTTTGCGTTATTTATACCTGTATGTGATTTGCAAAAAGGAATTATATCTAATAAATATTTGTGCATTTGCCAATTATCTATCTAATGAATAGTTACTCCTAAAAAAGAATAATTATTTCCAGAAGTCCACATATCAGTTGTTGATATGACCATGCCTGAAATTTTTTGTAGATCTTCACTTAAATTTGCTTGATGATTTAAAAATGTTTTTGTAATATATAAACTAATATAATGTCGACTTGGTACTTTGTAATATTTGATTAAATTTATTTAGCATTTCTAAAATGATTCTTTCTCAGTTACTAAAAATGGTTGTAAACTTTTAATTATCCAGTTAATTAGATATTTATTATATTCAAGCTGTTCTTCTTGATTATAAGGAATAATTTCAGATTTTGTTTTTTGTTTATAAATATCAAAATGATTTTTTTTTACATGTTCTTTTAAAGTTTCAGTAGATGTTGAAGAAGCATATTTAGTTGTACAATATTTACAATCTTGTGATATTTCTGATCAATTAAAAAATTTATCCATTGCTGATTTTCTTCTTCTTTTAGTATGACAAATAGGTCCACTATGATCAAGTTGATAAAGTTTCTAAATTAGATTCCGTATAGGTAGAAGTAGATCTAACAAGACCATTGAATATATCTTGAACATTTATATCTTGAATATTTGTATCTTGAATACTTATGTCTTGAATATTTATATCTGGAAAGTTTATATCTGGAACATTTATGTTTTGGATGTTTGTATCCAACATTTTGAATAACAAAACTGAAAAAAATTTTATTGAATTTATATAAACTCAGACAATTATCAAAATACTGTAATAATTGTCTGTAATTGCTAGTAATTTTGACTTTAAAAAATATACAATTTTATTAATTACTTTCTAAAGCTTTTTATTTTGCTAATTATATTTAAATGCTAACCTCTTTATTATATTTAGCATTAGTATTTTTAATATTAACAACAAACCTTATTATTCTTATATACGTAATAATTTTATTTTTTTATTATTGTAATTGTATGTACAGTATATATTATATTTTTTGCATATATATGCATAATTATTAAACAATCAAACTGAAGTTCAAACCAGTTTAAGCTGTCTTGTATTTGTTGCGGCTAAAACTGCAGCTAACTGGTTTGCCTGAACTAATTACCATCCCTAGTTAAGATTAATATCTATACTACTTTTGGAGCTTTACTCTAATTTTTGTCTCGACCTTGCTCGTCTTTTATGATCGTTTGTTTTTCTTGTCGGTACTTTTCGGATC